TGAAGCTTAAGACATACATTTATCCAGTAACTACCAGATAACTGTACAGGAGATATGACTATGTGGTTATAAAATAACAAGGGGAGGAAGTCACAGACACAAAACTGGAGTACAACTTATTAAATGTTAGCTAAGAAAGACCCAGGAGCAACCCAGAGGAAAAGCAGCTAATTCCCTAACAGGAAGCGAGTTGGTGGTGGGGAGGGGGGGAGGGAGGCCTCCCAAAAGCATACCTGGCAGTGGGCTTTATAACTGAGCTATGAAGGATAAGGACAGTCAGACCATGGCAGAGGCTCTAGGAAGTGGGAGCAGCATCAATCATATCAGCAAAAAATTCTGTAAGTAATTCAAATGGGGAAGTCAAAACTGTGACATCACCAGAAAAGATGGGAAGATATACACACCCAGACATTCAAATAACTGTTCTGAAAGGTCATCAATGCGAAACCTTCCCAAACAAAAGTATCTTAATAATGGGTGGGGAACGCCTGGGGAGGCAAATGCACACAGGAGAGAGAGAAACAGTGAGAAAGAACACAGGAGTGTGCCTCTAAAAATTGAAAGGGAAGTTTTTTGCCCTGAAGACTAACACAAAAGTACGGCTTGTGTGTGTGTGTGTGTGTGTGTGTGTGTGTTGTGTGTGTGTATGTATAAATTTATAATAAACAACTGTTATTACATTTCACGAAATCTAAGTTACCCTCAATGCTCATGTGAGATCAGCCTCTGGGCTCTCCATCTTACAGAGTTTTCCTTTTAGCTCCAAAGTTTAACCTGACCTAACCATTTTCTTATTTCTACTAAGAGTGCTTACACTTTAAAGTGTGGCTGAGAAAATGTAAAAATGTTACAAATTCACATGCTGTCTCTACAATAAATTGTATATTTTCTCTGCATTTTTATGCTTAATCTCTCTCACAGGAACATGAGAAGGGAATTTCTGGAACATTCAAAATCCCTATCAAACCATACACTTATAGAAAATTGAGCCATTTTTTGACCATATTGAAAGTATATGAATGTTCAATATGATAGCCTCTAGCCACAGGCCCAACAACTGTCACATATGACCAACAAGAGCTTGTAAATTACCTCTACGTCAGAATGAAGCATTCTACAAGAGGCCAAAAATTAAGTAATTTAAACCAGAAAAGCTTTAAGTTTCAAGATAGCTCAAAGTGATTACAGTCTTCAACAAATCAATAAAAGCAGCCAAAAAAAATCCATTGTTATATCCACATCTCTACTGATGGAATATGAAATATGTTCTAATATTATCTTTTTAATAATATAAATGGATTTTGGATAACCTACTTACACTTTTAACTACTCTCTCCCAAGATGAATTGTGAATGGCCAGTCTTTGTGAGGCCCTGCTTTGATGGGAAGAGAGTGGGGAGGCATGAACCTAATCCCAAAGATCAAATTGCATATCAAAGTTTAAAATGCATACCATACTATACACTCTGATTATTAAGCAATTTTCTAAACAGATCTGCACTGTTCAATATAAGAGCCACTAGCCATTTGGGGCCATGAGCACTTGTATGTGACTATAACCAATACAGGTGTGTTTTAAATGCTAAATACAAAATAGACTTGGAAAAAATAGTATAGTCACACAGAACAACCTTCAGTTTCAAGGGCCCTGTGCTGGAATCTATCTAAGTATAGCTGTGTAATAATCACTCAGACAGCTAGTTAGAAATAGATTCTTGGATACTAGCTCCAAAACTTTTTATTCTCCAAGTTTGAAATGGGAGTTGGGATTCTTTGTAAATTTCCCAGGCAAAACTCTGTGTAGCTATGTTTAGAAAACAAGTGTCCTCATCAACAAAGCTCTTGGCCACAAACCAACCTCAAAGTCAACTAGAGAGGAAAGGGCCCAAAGGCAAAGGAAAGAACCATTTTAAAAATCTTTAAAATACAAATTAAACAGAAATAATACGCTATTATACACCCACCAGATTGCCAAAATTTTTAAATCTCACAATACCAAGACAGACTATGATGTAGAGCAATGAGATTTCTCACACACAGCCAAACATTACTTTAAAGAAAACCTCAGTATTTTCTTACAGGATTGAAAATAGTCCTATCCATGACCAACCACTCCAATACCCACATGTCTAACATAACATGGACATGGGGTATGAGTTACATGTACAAGAATATTCAACACAACGTTGTTCATCATAGCCAAATGAGAAAAAAAAATTAACAGCAAAATGGCTATATAGTTGTATATCCACACAGTAAGAAACTACACAGAAAAATGAAAATGAAAGAACTCTAACTTTTACAAAAATATGAACTGAATTCAACACAATGTTGTGCAGAAGAAACCATACATCTCTTGAATCAATTCAGAAGAATACATTATAAATCTTTTTCACAGAAGTTCCATAAAGCAAGTCATAAACCATTTGTCTAGGAATACCTACAACATTGATAAAATTATAAAGAACATGAAAGTAATTACCATGGAAGTCACTAGAATATTGCCTATGAAAGGAGAGAACGGGTTACAATAGTGACAGACAGAGAACTTTTGTGGGCTGGTAATATTCTACTTTTTTGCCCAGGGTGGTCACACAGATACTGGCTTTTTAGTTTTCATTAAATATTATGTATTAGTTATAGTCACTAGGTACTACAATAAATGGACTCAAAAAATATTTAATGGCTCTAATAAAAACAGAGGTTTACATAACTGTCCAAAGCAGATACCTCTCTCTCAAAGAGCTTCACTTGAATAAATGGAAAAGCACACCATTCTTGGATAGAAAAACTTAGAATCATACAGATGTTCATTTCTCCTTATTTTAATTATTAAATCCATGCAATAAAAATGTCAATAGGTTTTTTCAAAACAAAATTATTTTAAAAATTAATAGAGAACTATAAACATGTGAGACAGCCAAGAAATTTGCAATGCGGGTGGATTGATTGCCCTTTCAGAGACTAGAACCAATTTTTTTAAAAAGCTAGAATGATGAGCAGATAAACAGATCAATAAAATGTAACTGGAATTCCCAAGATAGATCCAAACACATAATGGGTATTCAGAATATGATAAACGTAGTATCTGAAGTGTTTTGAGTGTAACACAAAATTTGAAAGCAATTTTTAAAACTAGATATAATTCTTCCATTACATCAATATAAAAATTCCCTCATGGCAAAACACGATAAGCAAAGTCAAAGGACAAGCAAACTTAAAAGCAACAGTGTAAGTCAAATCGCCAGGGGCTAATTCCCTTAATATATCTAAAGCTCCTACATATCAATAATAAAACAGTAACCATATAGCACAGAAACAGGCAGCATATAGGAACAGTGAACTCTCAGAATAAGAATTACAAATGACTCATTCACATGAAAAGATGCCCAAACTCTGTAAGAGAAATTTAAGTTAAAAATCAGAAGAAAATAACATTTTCACCAATCAGATAAACTCTAGTAGCACTCTGTACTGTTGAGTGTATAAGTTAACAGACACACTAAAACCTTGCTGGTGGAAGTCAACACCAATAAAATGTTAATGGAGAACAATTTGGAAATGTGGGAGGTGATGTGTTTACATGTACTTATTATGTACTTCAGCACTGATATAATAGCAAAAGTGGTGGGGACTCTACAGCCATCACAGAGCAGTCCCGTAAGTACCAAGATGAAGTGATCTTTTAGATACCCAGAGCAGCACATCATTTTCCTTGTTGGCTTCTCTACTGGTAGAGTCATCTTTGGTAAAGTAAGGCAGAACATCTAACTGAAGAATATGACCTCCCACAAATACTGAAGAAGAATTCAAAGCTACCAATTGGGGAAAGAGCTTTTTATAAAACAGTGTAAAAAAATCTACAAATTGCCTAGAAAACATAAAATCCTGCAGAAAATTCTAACTGAAACCATCGAAAACTGAATTCTTCACTGCACTTGCATGCTACCCTGTCTCCTGATCATCCTACCAAATCTGCCTTTCCTCCTAGATCTCCTGTTTCACTTAATGCTGTCACTTCCACCCAGGTCCTCAAGCTACAAAGAAGAACCTTCATTCATACTTTCTGGGTTCCCAAAATTTTTCAAATAATTTCTCTAAGTGCTTATATTCAATTGTCACTGGCCTATAAGGTTGACTTTTCTTTTAGATTGTGAGCTTCTTAAGGCTTGAGACCAGCTTCATGCATCTATGCCTTTCTACCAATCCCTGAGTGGAAGACCTGGCTCCACATGTGCTTTTCATTCACTGGAAGAAAAAATGGGGAAGGGGAGAATCATGCCTCAACAGTTTGCTTAAAGTCAAGGAGAGCAGACTAATAAACAGTTTATATTTATCTTCTACCTTTCCTCTATTAATTGCTACAACTAGAAACTCTAACTACAAATGTAAAATAAATACAAGAAGCATAAGGACATCTTATTCAACATTCAGTAAGTACTTCCTGTGTAAGTACAATGGATGAACACAAACATGGTTGTCCCTGCACTCACAAAACTTACAGGGCAGTAAAAGGACAATTAAATGAAGAATACAAATGACAGATCACTAAGTCTTACACAACACAGAGAGCAAGCATCATGAGAACACCAAGTAGAGAGATTTACATGACATTACACTCTCAGGACTATTACTTGTCCCCTGAATTGTACAGCCAACGGCACATTCTAATCCCACATAAACCAAACACACTTGGCATAGCCAGTGAGAAGCACTGTTCTGCCAGGAAAGGGCTATAGCCATCAGACACAACAGCCTCTATTCCTCCACAGGCAACCCCAGAAAACAGCAGAGAAAGCCCAGATGTTCTTAAACTCCATGGTAAACTCATGATGTTGAAAATGGTCAGAGTGTGATCAACTCACAAATCCCCAAGTGTGTTCTCAGATCACCCACAGGAACCAAAAAGCAGTGAACTTTTCCAAATGCACAGAAACAGAAGCAGAAAATAAGTGATTTAATCAAGTCACCACAGAGATTAAAGGTAAGCATCTACTTACCACATGAATGAGTTTGTCTCATCTTGATCTCTGTCTTAACCAACTATACACAATTCCTATGAACTGAGAAAAGATTTATTAGACTCCCTTGTGAAATCAGAGGTACTAGATTAACTGAATCCATAACTGCTAAACTATGAAACAACAACTAAAGGCTAAACTATGAAGCTTCAGTTTTATTTCAGGCAACCTCCCGACATAAACACAATCCAGATAAAAAATAAAGCTCAGCAACATACACACGTCCCCCCAAAATCACACAGAACACAGACACATAGAAAGGGTGGGCCTGCTTCCTATGCACAGCACTGTCAAGCTTGCTCTGGTAAATGAAAGCCAGGAAGCTCATCCCTGAACAGGATGAAAAGGATGAATACAAGAACAAGGAAGCCCTTCTATGAAGAGAGTTTGGAGTGTGTCTCTGTGTGTATATGCACTCACATTTTTAGTGTCTTAGGTTTGTCAAAGGAAAATAAATCTTGGGACCCCTAAATCACTAAGCTAAAGGGAAAAGCTGATCTGGGGACTGTCTAAGGACAACCTGCTTGTCACTGAGATAGATGCATAGCCGATTGCCTCCTTTGGAAAGGCTAATCAAAAACTCAAAGAATGCAAGCGCTCCTGTCTCTCACCTATCTGTGACCCAGAAGCTCCTTCCAGCTTCAAGTCTCCTTTCTGCTTTGCTTCAAGTTGTCCTACCTTTCCCAACACAAGCATTATATTTCTTACATATATTGACTAATGTCTCACATCTCCCTAAAATGTATAAAACTAAGCTGTGTCCTGACCACTCTGGGCACATGTCATCAGGACTTGCTGAGGCAGTCTCAGGAGCGTGCATTCTCAAACTTGGCAAAATAAATTTTCAAAATTAACTGAGACCTTTCTCAAATTTTTGGGTCTACAAATAATACCAGTAAATCAGAAGACCTGAAGGGAAAAATAAGGTAGTGTAACTTCATTATGACTGAAAAATGAATCTGGTATACATACAATAGAATATTACTTAGCAAATAAAATGAAATAAACTATTGACACAGAAACACCATGGATGAATCTCAAAATAATCACGTCAAATGAAAAAAGCCAGAAAAATGAGTTCCTACTGTATGATTCTATTTATATAAGTTAGAAAATGAAAACTAATATACAGTTACAAAAAGCGTATCAGTGGTTCCCTGTGGATCAGAGGCAGGAGGGAGACAGTACTGAAGGGTACAAGGAAACTGTTGGGATGACAAGTACAGTGGTGACAGCTCTATGCTAAATACCTATGTGAAAACATCTAACTTTACACTTCTAATATGTGCAGGTTGGGTGTCACTTGACTCCTCAATAAAGCTGTTTAAAATTTTTGATTAAAGTCAGTTCACATTGACCACCAATCGGGTTTAACTGAAACCTCACAAAATGAAGGAGATTATTTTCACTTTCAGAAGGATACCTGATCGCAGTTACATATCATGCTTTGTGGACAAGCAATTTCAGAATAAATACAGATTTCAAATACTTAAATATCTGTATTTCTTCCCATTCATCCTTTCATGATTTTAAAGGACCTAAAGCATTTTACAAAAAATTCCATCGCTTCAAGTTTTTTAGAGAGACTCTGAAATTCAAGAAACATTTAACTTTTTGGAAAAGACGCTTACACACCATCCTGTCCAAATTTCTTAATTTGAGGAAGTAAACTTAGCCCCTCCCCTTGTAGGGAGCTCATCCAGTCTCATGGCTTTGAAGTCAGTTCTGTGTTGCTGACACCTACCTTTGTCATTTTCATCTTGACCTCCCCACTGAACTACAGCCATTTATGCCACTTCCCACTAAACCACCTCACTTGACTATCTCATAAGTATGCAAAACCAATCGTGGCCAAAAGGTATCTTCTGATTCCCCTCACCACCAACTTCTCCAATTTCTTTCATCTCTGTAATTGAACGATCACACATTCAGTTCTCAACTAAAACCTAGAAATCAGCTCTTGACTAGTCATCTCCTGCCTTCCACATAGAATACACACTTAAGTTCTTAGCTCCAGCTACTATGGCTTCTTATGCAGACAACAGCTCTGAAAGGTCCCCATTTTCTCTCCTGCATCTACCAGTCAGTCACTACACAGGAGCCACAGTCATGAGGCCATCAATCAATCCCCAGACCTAGCACACTCTACAGACTTGCTGCCATCATTAAAGTGAAATACTAACTCCTTATTCTGCCCTAAAAGATCAAGGCTCTTTCCACCTCTCCAACCTCATCTACCACTATTTCTTCTCTGGCTACATTCCAACATTTCATACTGACTGTCTCCAACACACTAAACTCATTTCCACCCCAAAGCCAACGCTTTCCCACCTCCATACCTGAAACACACACAGATACTTTACCATTTATATCTCAACTCAAATAACATCTTCAAAAGCTTCCCACACCTCACTATCTACAGAAGAACCCTTGGTGAGAAGCTGGTGGTGAGGGGAATCAGGAGCCCTTTGGCCACAATAAGTTTAGAAATGTATTAGGTGTTCAAGTCAATATTTAATTCACGTAACATAGACCTAATTTTACTGACTTTACGGTACTTATCACTATATAAATTATCTTGTAAAGTTCTTTACTTATTATATATGCTAATAAAATTCATTCATTATTCATTTATTCCTGATATGCCTATCAGAAGCATTAGCCCCAATAAGAACTGTGATCCTTTCTTACTTCACTTGAAAGCATTCGTTTCCAGGTACCTTGTACCACTAGGTACAAAGTACCCACGTGCATTTTTTTAAAGTCTATTTTGAGTCTTTAGTAATTTCTAAGTGTGATGATTGGGCTTCCACACCCAAACCTGAGTGAAGCTTTTTAGAACACCAGTCTGATGTTTAAAAATAAAGGTCAATTTCAACTGTCCTATTCATTTTAAAAGATTCCAAATCTCCTTCCTCAAATATTTTTATCTCAGCATTTTACCTGACTGATGTTTAAATTTCAATTTCAACTGTCCTGTTAATTTTACAAGTTTTCAAATTATGCTTCTAAAGAATTGAAAATTTTTGACTGCTGACCTGCCTCATTATCATGAGATTTCTATTTGATATAGTATCAACTTATCAACATACAGGAATGTTGTTGATTTTGAGATCTGACTGCCTCTCTAAAATAGTGCCCTTTTCAATAAGAATCAGGTCAATATAAAAAGTGTTTTCTTTTAATGATTACATTGGGATATCTAATATCTTGCCTTTTGGATACTTGGCAAATAGTCACTTACATAATATACTATCTAAAAGCACCAAGTTAAACATTTTTAATTCCTTTATTTTCTTTTTTAGAATTTCAAAGCTTTCAGACACTGCTACCAAAAAAAATCACAATAGATTTTTTACCTCATTGTTACACATTATAAATGATCTCATAGTAAATCATTAATCACTGAAATGTACATTTTATAAGGACAGAGATATTTATCCAGTTGGTTCATTTTATCCCCCAGCACGTATTCCTGGCGCATTATCAGCTTAAAAAAATAAATGTTGTTAAATACCTGCAAGCTCCTGTTTTCCCTTATGGAGATCACCATATTACTTCCACATTTAGAGCATACTGCTAGTATGGGTAATCTCTTCTTGCTGTTTCTCAATGCTATGAAAATATAGCATTATCTGAACAGCAGTTCTAAATCACAAGTTCTTGACTTTCAAGTTATACAGTGATATGTGGCAAATGGGTAGCAAGTGATCAACATAGATTTTTGCATTAGGTGTGATCAACATAGATTCTCTTACCTTGTGCTGAGGAGGCAAGACTCAATATGGAGTCTGGATACACAGACTGCTCTAGGGCTAGGGAGAAAGCCACCGATAGAAGACTGTCTGTCTGTGCATCTCTGAATATAGACTGCCAGAGTATCAAGTTTTATACGGATGCCAAGGTGAATGTTAAATAGCGCTACAGGGCTGCTAATGAACGTTGCCATAAGAAAGTCATCAGAAGCAACCATTGTGAATCCTAGAAAAGCAGCTCATTTTTTTGTGCTGCAAGTAATTTATACTAATGAAAATTCCAATAGTCAAGTTCAAGAATAATCATTCATGAATAATCAAGGTTATTCCTAAAACATTACCCTTGCCCTCACATTTCTAAGAAAAAAGCAGCAGAGATACAACTAGTTTGCTGGGAACTACATATAACACAGTGAACAAGAGTGGGAATGTGTGTCATCTGAATGCCACCTATCATGTCAAAGTAGGCTGACACTGCAGATCAGAAGCAAGCAGCTCTCTACCACCTAATACACCCTAAATATGAATCCCTGTTCCATCTTCAACCAAGGAACCTCTGGAATTTATAACCTGTTTCTTAATATGAAAATATGAATAATCCCTGTATAGATTTGTAAATAATAAAATCTATTTTAAAAAAGAAAAGTAAACATATACTTCTAATCCTTTGATCACCATGGTCTGCCTACCTGGCTGGCTGGCTGGACTGAGGAGGAGCAGGTTCAGAACCCACTGGGAAAGCTCCTATAAAAGATAAGATGACAAGTAAACAGGCCATTATTTAACAAACAAAATGGACTTTTATAAAATATGCATTATACCACTTCACACCCACCAACATGCCTATAATCAAAAAAATAGTAACGGTTGACAAAGAATGTAAAGAAACTGGAACCCTCACACACTGCTGGTGAAAATGTGAAATCATGCGGTCACTTTGGAGGACAGTTCCTCAAAATGTCAGGTATAGTTATCATATAAGCCAGCAATTCCACTCCTAGGTATTCACACAGAAGAACTAAAAACAGATCGACACAAAAGCTTCTAAGCAAGTGTTCACAGCAGCATTTTTCTTAATTGCAAAAATGTGAAAACAACCCAAATGTCCAACAGACAAATAAAATGTGGCATATATCCACATAATGGAATAATATTTAGCAATAGAAAAATGCATGATGATATGCAAAGATAGATAAACCTTGAAAACATGCTAACGAAAGAAGTCAGACACAAGACCACAAGTCATCTGATTGCACCTACATAAAATGTCTAGAATAGGCAAATCTATAGAGACAGAAAGTAGATGAGTGGTTGCTTAAGGCCGAGAAATTTGGGAAAAATAGGGAGTGACTGAATGGGTGCAAGATTTCTCTTTTGATGGAAATGTTACAGATTAGACAGTGGTGACAGCTGTACAACTGAGACTATATTAAAACCATTGAACTGTACACTTTAAATGGGTGAGTCCTATGGTATGTGAATTATATCTTGATAATGCTATTAAAATATATTGTGCATTATCTTTAAATAATTATAGCTTTCAACCATCAAATGACATGTCTTATGAAGCATGGACATGTCACCTTAACAGCTACATTCCATGTGGCTCACAAAGTCCTCTCACAGCCCCCAGTCCCCACGACCAAGGGTATTCCCCAGGGCATTTCCACCAGAGCTCCCAGAGAAGATGCTTTCTCTTCCTAGGATCACAGGTGGAGCTGTGTTCAACTGGGGCTGCTCCTGTGACAAGAGAGAATAGGCTAACACTCTAAGAAAAGCAGAATGAGAGAGGGAGTGGGGCAGTGGGATAAAGAAAGAGGGGGAAAGAAGAAGGTGAGATAGGAGGAGACACAGAGAGGAAGAGCACGGTGTAATTATTGTTGGAGCATCTGCATCCAGCCATGCTGGCTAGTTTTAAGTGGGTCTCTGTAATTTGCTTTTAGGAGAGTCTTAATATGTTACTTCACTACAAACTCTTTCCCTACTTAACTGATAACTTTCCAAGGATATATACACAAGTAAAACTAAATCCTGGGTATTTTTTGTTTAATACAAAGATATATGAACATTAGAAACAGCACACATAGCTCAGTGGTTAAATGAAGTCACACAGACTTAGATTCAAATGCGAGTCTGAGGCTTACATAAGTGACCTTGGGTACACACAATTTAACTTACCCCCAAACCTTAGTTGCCACTTCTGTAAAATGGGAGCCCTAGGTTTGGTTTTTTTACAGAGAGGCCACTGTCCACATTAAATAAAATAACTCATGGCAGGGTCTCAATACAGTACCTGGCATATAAAAACACAACAGTATGATCCACCATTATTATTGGTAAACTCATGATTTATCACATGTATATTTAGAGCTTAGAAAAGTATTGTTTTAAAGCAAAGATAGCATGAATAAGACTAGTAGGTAAGAGCCAGAGAAAACTATACTGTGCTTCACAAAAAAATACTTCTTATTCATTTGGAGAGCATTATTTTTAAGATGTTAGAAACTAAACCAAGTAATGAAAAAGACAGCAGCCAGAAATGAATTTTGGTTCTTAGCTAACCTTGTCTAATACATACTTTGGTCAGAGATTTTTCTTCTTAGCCTTCAGTCTGCAATCACTTTTGGAAACCACTCCCCACTTGCAAATAGACAGCTTTAGACAACGATTTTTTTTTCTGTTTTGCTTCTTTATTGTATTTGGATAAAGATCCACCTAAAAATTATCTGTTTTTTATTTTTCCAAAGTGTAATGTTTTCACTATTGCTGCTTCTATAGAGGGCATTGTGAGAGATACAGATGAAACATTAAATGCCACAGTGAGTAGAAATAATGACTATAAAAAGTAATAATTATTATTTGGTAATATAACTTTGCTAAGCTTTCTGTTTTTCTACAACACTGCATGTTTACTGCATCCACATGAGAGAATTTCCTCCATTTATCTACTACCCATAGATATCACCAACTTGGCTCAGACACAAGTCCTCTCCAAAAGTGACCCTGTGATCACCCAGTTCTGAGTTCATTCATTCATTCAACAAAGACTTAGTGAGAACCTACTATGTGCAAGGTATTGTACTGGATACCAGAGAGGCAGAGAATAAAAGAGATACCTCTTCTTTGTGTTCTCATGAGGAGCTGTTGCCTCCTCATCACAACACTGACCACACTGATTACTGATTTCCTAATTACTACTCTGAAACCCCTAGAGAGACTCTAAGCAACCTGAGGTCAGGGACCATAGCAAAGCTGATTTGCACCGTATCACATTATTTTGAATAAGTCATGGAAAAAAATTGAAACAGAATGAGGTGTCAGCACAATATAGCCACAGCATAGCTATTTGCATGATCAGAGACTCATGCAAACTCAAGAGTGTAGACACACAAACTTTACAGGTCACTGAGTCTCCCATCAGTGCTGAATATAGCCTGCCACTGTGATCTTGGCTACATCTAGAGCTCGATCCAAAGCATATGAAACAGATATAAAATTATATGAAACTGATGTAAAATATGTTTTTAATAAATATTTGTAATAGATTGTCTTTTCATTGAAAATATTTCTATATAAGGCAAGGAAGAATAAAACACATATATTAGCCAAATGGAATGTCTTAGATGAAATGCACCAATTACAGAAAAAACACAAACTACAACAACTCATTTAATATGAATTTAAATAGACCTGTAACTGCTAAGAAAACTGACTTTGTAATTTCAAATCTCATACACATCTCTAGGCCAGTGAGGTGCGGTGGCTCACACCTGTAATTCCAGCACTTTGGGAGGCTGAGGCAAGTGGATCACCTGAGGTCAGGAGTTCAAGACCACTCTGGCAAACATGGTGAAACCCATCTCTACTCAAAATACAAAATATTAGCTGGGCCTGGTGTTGGGTACCTGTAATCCCAGCTACTAAGGAGGCTGAGGTAGGAGAATCCCTGAACCCAGGAGGTGGAGGCTGCAATGAGCCAAGGTCTTGCCATTGCACACCAGCCTGGGCAACAAGAGCAAAACTCCATCCCCCAAAGCAAAAACAAACAAACAAACAACAACAACAAAAACTCAGCCCAGATGGTTTTACTAAAGAATTCTATCAAATTCTTTAAAAAGAATTAACATTGGTTTTATATAATTCCTCCCAGAAAATAGAAGAGGAACGAATACATCTCAATTCAATGAAGGGAGTGGTCTAGAGGTAAGGAGACTAAAGAGAAATTAGAACCAAATGCAATCTGTAATTCCAAACTAGATCCTGTTGTTAAACAGAATATGATGAGATAACCAGTAAAACTTGAATGAAGTTGAAGATGTGATAATAGAAATGTATTAATTTTCTAATTTTGATGGTCATTTTGATATTACACAGAAGAATGTCCTTTTCTTAGGAAATGCCACTAAAATATTTGGAAGCAATGGGCCAACAAGTCAGCAACTTATTAGCAAATGGTTCAGGGAAAAGCAAATTTTCCTGAATTGTACTGATAACCCTCCTGTAAATGTAATCTTGTTTTAAAACAAAGAAAAAATGTTTCTTAAAAATATAAGAGGCTATCTTTATGATCTCAGGATACAGAAGAATTTCCTAAACTAGGTATAAAAACACTGCAAATATGAATGGTATAAATTCAGTCACATAAAATTAAGAAATTTAGAAATGAAACATTATTCAGCTTTTTCAAAGAAAAGAAATTCTGGCTTCTATGAGTCATATAACATATATGTGACAACACGGATGAACCCTGAAGATGTGTTAATTCAGATATGCCACTCACAAAAAGACAAACGCTGTAAGTTTCCACTTATATGAAGTATCTAGAATAGTGAAATTCATAGAAACAAAAGGCCAGCGGCTGGCCCTGAGTCAATTAATTAATATACAGTTTCAGTTCTGTAAAATGAAAAACTGAAGATCTAGTGCTCAGTGTTGTGAATACTCTCATCACTACTGAACTACCCACTTAAAGATGGTTAAGATGGCAAATTTCATGCTTATTACCACATACATATATACACTCGTGGATAACACTTGAAGAAAGGAAACGGTTAACACAATATTGCAGAAGTCTCTCCTCTCTTGGATGTGATCTGAAAAGGGCACACAGGGAACTTAAAAAATGTTTTCTTTAAAGTCAAGTACAAGTGGTTTTTATCATCCTCTAAAAGGATAAGCTCCTGTAAATCTACTTTTTAAAATCAACTCCCCAGGAAAGGGAGGGAAGATGAGCAAGTACAAAAGCTCTAAAAATAAATAACTCAAGGACAGAAAAGGCAAAAGGAAAGAACGATGAATTTTCTCAGTATTATTAACTTTAAAGTCTGTTTTCTAAATAATAAAAGATCAATTTCGTACAGCAACTTAAAGTTGTAAGTGATACTGCTCAAACTAGATGTAACTTTATGTAATTACCAATTATCTTTTTAAAATATGAAGCCAAATAATATCAATCCCTCAGCCTCCCTATATTGCTCATCAAAACAGGGGGAGTCATACAGGACAGGGGCAATCTGCAGTGGTCTGAACAAGGGGAAGCAGAAAGAGGCACTGAGGGCCAGCGTTCTGCCTTGAGAAAGCAGAAGCGGAGGCTACACTGTATACGGCTTGTGCAGAGGCCTCCCAGTTCTGACTGGTATCCTGCTAAGAAAAAAAAAGTAAGGCTAAAAAATATATCCACAAGGATACCTATAGGGGTGGGGGGAGAAATTAAAATGTCTAATTCTTCTCAAGAGCTTTAAAACATGCAAATCCAATTCTGAATTTTCTACTGTCTACTGGCTATATCAGCTGGGACTCAGGTCAGATACAGACAGGTCACTGATGCTGACTGAAAATCGCCTATATTTTACTCTTTATTCACAATGCTTTAAATATAAGTTTGATTAAAATTTTTCTCATCATTCTACTCAAAATACCACAGGCTCTTTGTTCTATCAAATGAAATTACTACCCTGAAAAACACAACGGAATGCTTTCAAGATAAAATGTGCAATCTCCAAGGAAAATCTTGAGTCCTGCCCTATACCCTGAACCCCAGATTCACATCTTCAATGTTCTTCACATTTCTACTTCGAAGTCTAGCCAGCATCTGAAACTTAACACAGTCAACAGGAACATCTTTCACATCCACCCTTCTCATATTCCAACAGCCATTTCTCTTCCAGGCTGGTGTCAAAGGCTGTCACACTGACCTTCCACTGAGCTGTTAACACTTACACTGTCCATGAGTGGCGAAGCTAAAAGGGCACCGATTGTAACACTCCTTCTGGGGCCTCAGGGCCTGCGCAGAGGTTTTCTTCTCCTGATGTGTGTGAGGTGGGCATGGTATGTGGGTGGTGTGTGTGCCCGCATATGGGTTAAGTGTGTGGGGTGTGAGAGTTGGGCATGGTGTATAATGTAGTGTATGGTGTGTGAGGTGGGTATATGTGTGCTGTGTATGGTGTGTATGGGGTATGGGTGTGGTGTGTGTGAGGTGGGCATGGTTTGTGTGTGGTGTGTGTGTGCTGTATATGGGTTAAGTGTGTGGGGTATGTGAGGTGGGGATGATATATACGTAGTGTGTGGTGTGTGAGGTGGGTAGATATGTTGTGTATGATGTGTGGAATGTGGTGTGTGGTACAGGTGATGTAATATTTTTGTGGAGTGTGGTGTGCTGTGTACATGGTACTTATGAAATGTTTGTTTGCTGTGTATGAAATGTGTGTGGTGTGTGTGAAATGTATACGGTGTATGCATGGTATTATGTGTTGAGTGTGGTGTGTGTGTTGTGCATATATAAGGTGTGTGTGGTGTATGTGTGCAGTGTGTGGTACATGTGAAGAGTGCATGATATGTAGTGTGTGTATTATATGTTTGTGAAGTGGACATGATATGTGTGTGGTGTATAGGAGGTGTGTGTGGTGTCTGTGATGTGAGTTTAATGTGTGTGGTGTCTGGTGTATATAGGTTAAGTGCATAGTGTGTGTGAAGTGGGCATGGTATATATGTTGTGTGTGTGAGGGTTATATGCAAGTGGTGTGTGTGGGGTATGTGTGTGGTGAGGGTGGTGTATATGGGTTCAATGTGTGTGGTGTGTGAGGTGGGCATGGTGTATATGTGGTATGAAGTGTGTGATGTATGTGAAGTGGGCATAATGTGTGTGGTGACTGGTGTATATGAGTTAAGTGCATGGTGTGTATAAGGTGGGCATGGTCTATATGAGGTGTGTGCACGGTGGTTATAATATGCATGTAGTGTGTAGGGGGTATGTGTGGGAGGTGAGTATGATACATGTATGGCCTGTGTGAGGTGGGTATGATACGTGTGTGGTGTGTGTGAGGTGAGTATGATGTATGTGTTGTATATGGGTTAAGTGTTGTATATGGGTTAAGTGTGTAGTGTGTGAGGTGGGCAGGGCATATATATGGTGTGTGTGATTTGTAAAATGAATATATGTGTGTGGTGTCTGTGTGGTGTTTATAGGGTGTGTGGGGTGCGTGAGATATGATAGGTGTGTGGTGTGTATGTAGTGTATATGTGTTAAGTCCAGTGTGTGAGAGGTGGGTACGCCATGTGTGTACTGTGTATGAGTTGAGTAGAACATGGGTGTGGTATGTATAGTGTATATGGGTACGTGTGTGGTGTGTGTGAGGTGGGTATTTGTGTTGTGTGTGGCATGTATTGATATGTGTGTGAGGTGGGAATGATGTGTGTGAGGTGGGAATAATCTGTGTGTGATATATATACATTAAATGTGTGGGGTGTGTGAGGTGGGCATGGTGTATATGTGGTGTGTGGTGTGAGGTGGTTGTGTTATGTGTATGGTGTGTAGGAGGTAGGTATGATATGCATGTGCTGTGTATGGGATGTGAGTGTGAGCTGGATGTAATATGTGTGGTGTGGATATGACATGTGTGGTGTGTGTTGTAATATGGTTAAGTGTGTGGTGTGTGTGAGGTGGGCATGGTATAGGTGTGGTATGAGGGGGTATAATATGTGTGTGGTGCATATGAGTTAAGTGTGTGCAGTGTGTGAGGTGGGTATGATATGTGTATGGTGTGCGTGAGGTGGACATGTTATGCATGCTGTGTGCAGTGTCTATGGGTTAAGCATGTGGTATGTGTGAGGTAGGCATGGTATATATGTGATGTGTGAGGTGGGTATGTTTGTGGTGTGTGGCATGTATGCAGTATGCATATGAAATGGGTATGATACATGTGTGGTGTATGAGGTGGGTATGATATGTGTTCTGTGTGTGGTGTCTATGGGTTAAGTGTGGTGTGTGTGTGTGAGGTGAGCATGGTATATATGTGGTATGTAAGGTGGGCATGTGTGTTGTGTGTGGCATGTATGGGGTATGTGAGGTGGGTATGATATGAGCATGTGGTTTGTGTGTGATGTGGGAATGACATGTGTGGTGTATATAGGTTAAGTGTGTGGGGTGTGTGAATTGGGCATGGTTTATAAGTGTTATATAGTGTGTGAGGTGTCTGTATGTGTGTTGTGTGTGGTGTGCATGGTGTATGTGTGTGGTGTGAGGTGGATGTGATATGTTCCTGGTGTGTCAGATAGGTATGATATATGTGTGCTGTGTGTGAGGTGGTTACAGTTTGTGTGTGGTACATGTGGAGTATCCATACAAATTCAGTGTATGGGGTGTGTGAGGTGGAAATAGTGTATAATGTAGTGTATGGTGTGTGAGGTGGCTGTCTGTGTGTTCTGTATGGTGTGTATGTGTGTGGTGGGTGTGAGGTGAGCATTGCATGTGTGAGGTACACTTACATATGTGCACACATACATACCTGTGCACTGCAGAGGATAGGCAGGCCAGAAGCCAGGGACATGCAGCAATGACCAGCTCAGCCAAAGAAAGCAGGGCTCAGGGTGGGAGTGGCCAGGCCCCTGGCAGCTCAAGATCTTGAATTCACTGAGAACCTAGGAGGAGAGAACAAGCTGTGTCACCATCTCCACCCAAGTTCATCACTAACATGAACGTATATGCTGCACTGAAACCGTTCCACATCTGATTAGAATAAGAAACACAGACGAATCCAAGATGGCTGATTAGGAGTAGCTCAGGATTGCAGCTCCCAGCAAAAGTGTGAAGTGTGAGTTGATGCCACATTTCCAGATGGATTATTATTGCCCACAGACCAGGAGATTCCCAGGTGGAGAAGCCCCATGGGTCACCAGCACAGCTGTTTTGGCCAGTGCCCCAGTGCAGCGGTTCTCCGTACAAAATACACAGGTCCAGGCACCATTTAAGCTGATGATTGGAGCTCCAGGGAGACAGATTCACCCATTCATCTGATTAAAAGGGGGACTGAAACAGGGAGCCAGGCCTGGAGATTCCTGGGCAAAAAAGTGCCATGCATGAATCTCAGTGCAGCTCTTTCAGCCAGCGCAGTGGGTCACCGCACAGGAAATCACACGGATCCCAGTGCCTTTTCAACAGTCTACTGGAACACCTGGGAGACAGTCGAATGTTCAACTAAAAAGAAAAAAAAAAAGGCTCTGAGGCAGAGAGCCAGGTGATCAGGCTAGGCTGGTCCCAATCCCCCAAAAAACAGCAACCTGAAAGATTCTGGATTGAGAGTCTCACAGCAAGCACAGCTGAACCTGGGACAGTCCAGCTCTGTGCAGGAGAGGTGTCTGCCATTACCAACACACTCCACCACTATGGAGGTGGTCTGCCATTTCTGAGGAAGCCCGCCATTACAGAGAGAGTCCACAATTACAGAGGTGAACCGCCATTGCTGAGGCAGTTCTAACTATACCTGTATAAACAGGACTGCAGGGAATTTCACATGGCAGCTGGGTGGAGCCCACAACAGCTTAGCAAACCTCTGCAGGCAGACAGTGACTAGGCTGCCTCCTCACTCCTCACTGGGCTGGGCAGCCCTGAAAAAACACAGCAGCACAAGAGAAACTCATAAATAAAGCCCTAACTCCTCGGACAGAGCACCTGGGGAAAAAAAAGTGGGGGGGGGGGCGGGTTATGAGTTCTGCTGCAACAGACTTAAATGTACCTGCCCAGCAGCTCTGAATGAACAACGAAGCTCACAGCTCAGCACTTGAGCTTCTATGAAGGACACACTGTCTCCTCAAGCAGCTCCCTGACCCCTTTATATCCAAAGAGTAACCTCATAAAGGATAGCTCAGATTGACATCAGGCAGGTATTCTTCAGGGACAAAGATAGCAGAAGAAACTGGCAGCAACCCTTACTGTTCTGCAGCTGCTGCAGTTGATCCCCAGGCAAGCAGGGTCTGGAGTGGACCTCAGCATTCCTACAGCAGATGGGCCGGACTGGTAGAAGGAAAACTAAGAAACAGAAAGAAATAACTTCAACACCAACATACTGAATGTCCAATCAGAGACCCAATCTATCTGAAAGTCAGTGACTACAAAGACAACAGGTAGGTATATCCACAAAGATGGGAAGAAACCAGTGCAAAAAGAATGAAAACACCCAAAAGCAAACACCTCTCCTCCTACAAGGGATCAAAACTCCTCACCAGCAAGGGAATGAGACTGGATGGAGAATGAGTGTGATGAATTGACAGAATCAGGCTTCAGAAGGTGGGTAATAAGAAACTTCTGTGAGCTAAAAGAATATGTTGTGACCCAATGCAAAGAAACTAAGAACCTTGAAAAAAGATTTGATGAAATGCTAATGAAAATAAATAACTTAGAAAGAAATATAAGTGAATTGATGGAGCTAGAAAACACAACATGAGAACTTTGTGAATCATACACAAGTTTCAACAGCCAAATTGACCAAGCAGAAGAAAGGATATCAGAGGTCGAAGATCAACTCTATCAAGTAAAGCGAGAAGGCTAGAATAGAGAAAAAAGGGTAAAAAGAATGAACAAAGTCTCCAAGAAATATGGGACTATGTGAAAAGACCAAATCTACGTTTGATAGGTGTACCTGAATGTGATGGAAAGAATGAAACCAAGCTGGAAAATACTCTTCAGGATATCATCCAGGAAAACTTCCCCAACCTAGCAAGCCAGGCCAATATTCATGTCCAGGAAATATAGAGAACCCCTCAATGATATTCAGCAAGAAGAGCAACCCCAAGGCCCATAATCATCAGATTCACCAGGGTTGAAATTAAGGAGAAAATGCTAAGGGCAGCCAGAGAGAAAGGTCAGGTTACCACAAAGGGAAGCCCATCAGACTCACAGCAGATCTCTCAGCAGAACCCCTACAGGCCAAAAGAGAGTGGGGGCCAATATTCAACATCCTTAAACAAAAGAATTTTCGACCCCAAATTTCATATCCAGCCAAACTAAGCTTCATAAGTCAAGGAAAAATAAATCCTTTGCGAACAAGCAAGTACACAGAGATTTCATCACCACCAGACCTGCTTTACAAGAACTCCAGAGGCACTAAACATAGAAAGAAATAACCAGCACCAGCCACTCCAAAAACATACCAAATGCTAAAGAGCATCAACATAGTGAAGAAACTGCATTAACTAGTGGGCAAACAGCTGGCTAGCATCAAAATGGCAGGATCAAATTCACACATAAAAATATTAACCCTAAATGTAAATGGGCTAAATGCCCCAATCAAAAGACACAGACTAACAAATTAAATAAAAAGCCAAAACCCATCTCACATGCAAGGATAATAAAACCTCAAAATAAAGGGATGGAGGAAGATTTACCAAGCAAATGGAGAGCAAAAAAAAAAAAAAGCAAGAGTTGCAATTCTCATCTCTGATAAGATAGACTTTAAACCAACAAAGATCAAAAAAGACAAAGAAGGACAATATGTAATGGTAAAAGGATCAATGCAACAAGAAGAGCTAACAATCCTAAATATATATGCACCCAATACAGGAACACCCAGATACATAAGGTAAGTTCTTAATGACTATGACTTACAAAGAGACTTAGACTCCCACACAATAATAGTGGGAGAGTTTAACATCCCATTGTCAATATTAGACAGATCAACAAGACAAAAAATTAACAAGCATATCCAGGACTTGAACTCAGACCTGGAACAAGCCAACCTAATAGACATTTACAGAACTCTGCACCCCAAATCCACAGAATAGACATTCTTCTCAGCACCACATCACATCTACTCTAAAATTGATCACATAACTGGAAGTAAATCACTCCTCAGCAAATGCAAAACAACAGAAATCATAACAGACAGTCTCTCAGACCACAGTGCAATCAAATTCGAATTCAGAATTCAGAAACTAAGAACCATACAGCTTCACAGAAACTGAACAACTGGCTCTTAAATATTGACGGGATAAACAATGAAATGAATGCAGAAATAAAGATGTTCTTTGAAACTAACAAGAACGAAATCAAAATATACCAGAATCACTAGGACAAATTTAAAGCAGTCTCTAGAATATATAGCAATAAATGCCCACACGAGAAGCAAGGAGAGATCCAAAATTGACACCCTATCATCATAATTGAAAGAGCTAGGGGAGCAAGATCAAAAAAACTCAAAACCTAGCTGAAGACAAGAAATAACTAAGATCAGAGCAGAGCCAAAGGAGATAGAGACACAAAAAACCCTTTAAAAAAAATTAATAAATCCAGGAGCTGGTGTTTAGAAAATATCAATAAAATAGACAGACCACTGGCCAGGTTAATAAAAAAGAAAAAAGTGAATAATCAAATCGATGCAATATACAATGATAAAGGGGATATCACCACAGAAATTCAAGCCATCATCAGAAATTACTACAAACAACTCTATGCACATAAACTAGTAAACCTGGAAAGAATGAATAAATTCCTGGACACCTGCATCCTCCCAGGCCTAAACCAGGAAGAAGTCAAAACCCTGAAAAGACCAACAACAAGGTCTGAAGTTGAGGCAGCAATTAAGACCCTACCACCCAAAAAAAAGCCCAGGTCCAGATGGGTTCACAGCCGAATTCTACCAGACATACAAAGAGGAGCTGGTACCATTCCTTCTGAAACTATTCCAGATAATCCAAAAAGAGGGAATCCTTCCCAAATCATTTTATGAGACCAAAGTCATCCTGATACCAAAACACTGCAGAGACTCAGCAAGAAAAGAAAACTTCAGGCCAATATTCATGATGAACATAGATGCAAAAATCTTCAATACAATACTGGCAAGCTGATTGCAAGAGCTCATCAAAAAGCTTATCCACCATGATCAAGTAGGATTCATCCCGGGGATACAAGGCTGGTTCAACATACACAAGTCTATAAATGTAATTTACCACAGAAAGAGAACAAAAGACAAAAACCACATAATTATCTCAATTGATGCAGAGAAGGCCTTTGACAAAATTCAATGACTCTTTATGCTAAAAAAGCCCTCAATAAACTAGGTATTGACTAAACATATCTCAAAACAATAAACCCTATTTATGACAAACCAACAGCTAATATGATACGGAATGGGCAAAAATTAGAAGCATTCCCTTTGAAATCTGGCACTAGACAAGGATGCCCTCTCTCACCACTCATATTCAACATAGTACTGGAAGTTCTACCCAGAGCAACCAGGCAAGAAAAAAAAAAATAAAGTGTAGTCAAATAGAAAAAAACGAAGTCAAATTGTCTCTATTTTCAGATGAAATAATTGTATATCTAAAAGACCCCATCGTCTCAGTCCAAAATCTCCTGAAACTGATAAACAACTTCAGCAAAGTCTCAGGATATAAAATCAATGTACAAAAATCACAAGCATTCCTATACACCAGTAACAGACTTAACAAGAGCCAAATCAAGAACGAACTGCCATTCACAATTGCTACAAAGAAAATAAAATACCTAGGAATACAACTAACAAGGAACGTAAAGGACCTCTTCAAGGAGAACTACAAGCCACTGCTCAACAAAATAAGAGAGGACACAAACAGATGGACATTCCATGTTTATGGTTAGAAAGAATCAATATCATGAAAATGGCCATACTGCCCAAAGTAATTTACAGATTTAATGCTATCTCTATCAAGCTACCAATGACCTTCTTCACAGAACTGGAAAAAAACACCTTATATAAATAAATTAAAAGGTGTTCATATGGAACAAAAAGAGAGCTTGTATAGCCAAGTCAATTCAAATCAAAAAGAACAAA